TGCCTCCACCTCCTACCAAACTCCACCACCTCCTCAAAACAACCATTCTCAAGTACCACCTCATCCCCAATATACCCACCATCAAACCGGTCCACCACCACAAGAACAGAATCAAAGCCAAAACCAAAATGCATTCCACCCTCGAAATCCTCACCACGACCAAAACCAAAATATTAATCCCCAAAGATATCCTCAAAACTACCAAACTACCCATAATGCCCAAAGTCCTTCAGTAGCTCAGTAGCTCCGCCCCTACCTAAATTAACAACTTCCGAGATCCCCGTCCCAACTAAACATGACGTTCATAGTTTTGAGCTAGACCATTACAAGGAACAACAAAGAGAGTGAAGGGCAAAGGAAGAGGCGAAGGTGGATTTAAAGGAAGAAATCAGGAACGTAGTGAAGGAGTTCCAATGCATTCCCGACGTTGCCGGTCTGAACTATGAGGATTTGTGTAGTAATCCAAATCTGGACCTCCCAGAAGGGTTCAAGATTAAAAATTTGACACTTTCAAAGGTGTAGGGAATCCTATGGCCCATCTGAGATCCTACTGCAACCAGCTTGTCGAGGTTGGTAGAGATGAAGTTTTGCTGATGCGGCTTTTTAGACGGAGTCTATGTGGTGAGGCGCTAGAATGGTTCACTTCCCATGAGACCAGACAATGGCCCAGTTAGAATGCCCTGGCCAAGGATTTTATCGATCGATTTGATTATAAGGTGGAAATCATTCCCGATCGCTACTCCCTAGAAAGATGAAAAAAAAGTCCAGTGAAAGCTATAGAGAGTTTGTATACAGGTGGAGAAAAGAGAAATCTAGGGTTCGACCTCCGATGTTTGAAAAAGAAATAGATGAACTGTTTGTGCGGGTGCATGAGTTCGAATACTATGATAGAATCTTAATGATCGTTAGAGCAAAATTTTCTAAGATAGTCAAGGTTGGTGAGACTATTGAAGATGGGTTGAAAACCGGGAAGATTACTCGTGTTGTTGTGTTGACCAGATCATCGGGTTTGTGAAAAAAGAAAAGAGAAGACGTTTCTACTGTTTCTTACGAGGGTAGGAAGACCCCCAGAAGATCATCATCCTACCAAGGTCATTCTCGACCCTCCAAGAATTCTTACCAGGCTTGCTACACGCAAGCTAGTTATCAAAATACTCGTCAACCTGTCTACCAGAATGCTACCTCCATATACCCAAATGTCCCTCCTCCCAAATTACCAAAATCCATCTCTCATTTACCAAAACTCTCCCACCTTTACAAAATTCCATATCTCATTTACTAAAATGATGCTCTTAACTGTGCCAATGTGCAGTCAAACTACAGAGCATCCCCACCAGTATATCAAGTCCAAGCTCCAGTACACCAAAATGCCCCCACGAATTACCAAGAACGCTCTCCAAATTACCAAACAAATCCTTATCCAAGAAACCAAACTCCCCGTCTAAATACCCAAAATTATCAACAGATGCCTCCTTCCGACAAGGTAGCTATGATCCCCCTCGACCCAGAGTCGAGAAGAAGCCCCCCAGAAACTTTACTACGCTCGCTGAAAGTTGTACGAGCGGCTGGATACATTCACCGATGGGACCCAAGCCAGTGGATACTAGTTCCAAATTCAATAGACCCGATCAAAGGTGTGCCTATCACTCCAACAGAGTTGGACATGATAGTGAGGATTGTATCAACCTCAAACACAAGATTCAAGATCTGATCAATCAAGAAGTGGTTTCTCTTCAAACAGTTGTGCCCAATGTCAACACCAATCCTTTGCCCAATCATGGAGGCGTCAATACGATACAGACGGATGATGAATTGTGCGCGACTAAGGTGATAACTTTGATTGTCCATGATGAGTTGGAATGGTTGTGGCCTCGCTGAGCGTTAAATAGAAAAAGAAGTTCATGATCCTGACACTTACAAAGGTTGTTGCCTTGGTGTCATTCAAAGCTTCTGCTAGGCCACAGTTTGTGATTGAAACCGCTGCCCCTCACGGTCACACCCGATCTGGGAGGTGTTACACTACCGAAGAGTTATATTTTGACGGATAGAAGAAGGATCAAGGGAAAATGCCGATAAGTGAGGGCAAAGGGGAGGAATTCTTGAGAAGGATGCAACCAAAATTATCCGAGGGCATCAAATTTAGCTTTTGTAACGAAGAGTTGCCCTTTGAAGGGAGGTCGCACAACAAGGTGTTGCATATCATTATCATATGCCGCGAAAAGGTTCTTAACCATGTCTTGGTGGATGATGGGTCTAGTCTCAATATTTTCCCACTATCGACTTTGAGGCAGTTAAGGTTTGACTTGGGGAAGCTGGAACAAAACCAAGTCAATGTAAGGGCCTTTGATGGTGTGCAGAGAGACACATTGGGACTAGTGAATTTTGTCATCCAAATGGGTCCGTTAGAGTTCGGTGTAAAGTTCCAGGTCTTGGACATTGACACTAGCTATAACCTTCTTCTGGGAAGGCCTTTCATCCATATGTCTTGATCTATGTCTTCTACTCTTCACCAGATGATGAAGCTCGTTTGGAAGGACGAAGAACTGGTTATTCATGGCGAAGGCATTCACTCTGGAAGGCAGACGCCCATTATTGATGAAGTTTCACGAGGTACCAATTTCTTCACGGTTGAGATAGTAAATGCCACCGGTGAGGATTTGACCTAACAACCTCTTATGCCTGCCGTGTACAAAATGATAGCCACTGTGATGCTGCAGAATGGGTTTGCGCCAGGTTCGGATTGGGAAGGAATTCCCAAGGAATTATTAATTCTATTCTGCTCCCCATCAAATGAGCGAAATATGGTTTGAGGTACGTCCCCACATATGATGAGATAAAGATGAAGAGGAACAATGATCAAGCATTGTTCAAGCTGATCCCAAATTTGTATCAATCATTTCCAGTCCATGAGTACGCCGATGTGACGGCCTTGGGGAAGGAATCTGCGACCTTTTTGAGGAGATAAATGTTGTCATAGAGGACGAGGTCGAGCTACCTGGTATCCACGATGCTGAGCCTGGAGAACAACTACAGAATTGGACTTCTACACAAATATTGTTTCCCCGATCATCTTGGTAGAAGGACATTATTTATACATTTTTTTCAAAAATTGGTGGTAGTCCGGAAGAGGCCGAAAATCCCCCCGTGATGTTTAAAAAGGCAACATGGCCCCCCGCCAAGGCCAAAGTTTGCATTGTTTTCTAGTTCGAATGAAAGCCTTTCTATTGAAAACTTGTTTATTTACTTATCTGTTATATTTACTTTCCTAACTTTGTCTGTTTATGTTTTAAGTAATATTAATTTTAAACATGCCAATGTCATATCATGTCACGAGCTAAACGAACAAAATGAGGAAGGTGATGATGAAGGTGAAGAATTCAAAGAAGAAAATGAGGTACCGAAATATGTTTCTGAAGAATTTTTGCAATTTGAAATCAGCATAAGCCAAATTTGGAAGAAACTGAAATCGTGAATAAAGGAGACCAAGAGTGTGTAAAAGAGGTCAAAATCAGTGTCCACTTGAATGAAAATCAAAGAAAGGATCTGATTCATTTTCTTAAAGAATACATTGATGTGTTCGTGTGGGAAGTTAGCGACATGCTAGGGCTGAGTACCAATGTGGTGTCTCACAAGTTGCCAATTAATCTAGGGTTTAGTCCGGTGAAATAGAAAGCTCGAAAGTTTAAGCACGATTTAAGTTTAAAGATCAAAGAATAGCAGTTTGAGTCTCGATCGGTGGAAGTGATGGAATACCCAAGTTGGTTGGCCAATGTTGCGCCGATCGCCAAAAAAGATGGGAAGATTAAAATTTGTGTCGACTACAAGGATCTCAACAAAGCTAGCCTAAAGGATAATTTTCCATTGTCGAATATTCACATTTTGATCGATAATTGTGCTAAACATGAAATGCAGTCATTTGTGGATTATTATGCAGGTTATCATCAGATACAGATGGATGAAAAAGATGTAGAAAAGACAAGTTTTACTACGCCTTGGGGTGTATATCATTACAGGGTGATGCCATTTGATCTCAAAAATGCTGGTGCTACTTATATGAGGGCTATGACGACCATATTTCATGACATGATTAATAAGGAGATCGGTATAACTTGAAGTTAAATCTCGCTAAAAGAGCTTTTGGGGTGCCGGATGACAAATTATTGGGATTTATAGTCAGTAGAAGGGGTGTTGAGCTCTATCATTCCAAGATTAAGGCAATTCAAGAGTTACCTCCTCCGAAGACGAAGAAGGAAGTGATGAGTTTCTTAGAAAGGTTGACTTACATCATTCGATTTATAACTCAATCAACTGTGGTGTGTGAGCCCATCTTCAAGTTGTTGAAGAAAGACGCTTTGACAAAGTGGACTGAAGAATGTGAAACTGCTTTTGACGCTATCAAGAACTATTTGTCCAATCCACTAATATTAGTTCCTCCGCGATAAGGGAGTCCATTGTTGCTGTATTTTTCCATCTCAGATAATGCAATTGGATGCGTGCTTGGGCAGCATGGTGAAACATGGAAGAAAGAGCGAACCATTTATTATATAAGCAAGAAGTTCATGCCATATGAGGCTCGTTATACTCTTTTGGAGAGAACGTGTTGTGCTTTGACTTGGATCGCTGAGAAGTTGAGACATCATTTCTCTTCTTATACTACATATCTCATCTCCAGAATGGATCCGTTGAAGTATATTTTCGAGAAGGAAATGCCCGCCGGAAATTTGGCCTAATTCCAGATGATTTTGAGTGAATTCTATATTGTGTATGTGACCCAAAAGGCGATAAAAGCACAGACCTTGGCTGACCATCTTGCAGAAAATCCCATGGATGAAGAGTTTGAACCGCACAAGACTTATTTTCACGATGAAGAAGTATCATTTGTGGGTGAAGATATTTCTGAAGTGTATCTTGGCTGGAGATTATTCTTTGATGGAGCGTCAAATCACCAAGGAAAAGGTTTCGCAGCGGTCTTAGGGTCAAAATCCGGTCAGCACTATCCTATGGCAGCTAAGCTCCAGTTTAATTGCACTAATAATATGGCTGAGTATGAAGCTTGTATCCTCGGTTTGAAAATGGCCATTCACATGAATGTCCACGAGCTGTTGGTTATTTTAAGTTCAGATTTATTAACTCATTAGGTTCAAGGAGAATGGGCCATGAAGAGCCCAAAGATCACACTATATATGCAATATATACAGAAGTTATGCAGAAGATTTCGTAAGATTGAGTTCTAACATACTCCCAAAGAACAGAATGAGTTGGTTGATGCCCTCGCCACCATCGCCTCAATGATCAAGCATCCGGATACTAAGTATATCGATCCTCTTGATGTAGAGCTGAAAAAGCAGCCGGTCCATTGTTCACATGTTGAAGCAGAACCAGACGGTTTGCCATGGTATTTTGATATAAAGATGTATTTGGAGTCTGGGATTTATCTTGAAGACGCCACATCCAACAAGAAAAAGTCGATACGCAGTATGGCCCTCAATTTCTTTCTGAGTGGAGAAGTCCTTTATAGGAGGACTCCAGATTTAGGTCTTCTCAATTGTGTCAATGCTTTTGAAGTTGTGAAGATTATCGAACAGATACATGCTTGAGTTTGTGGTATGCACGCAAATGGACTCACTTTTGCAAGGAAGATCCTTCAACCCAGTTATTTTTTGATGACTATGGAGCATGATTGTTACAAATTTGTGTAGAAATGTCATCATAGTCAAGTTCATGGTGATCTGATCCGAGTACCGCTTCACGAACTTAATGTTATGAGTTCGCCTTGTCCCTTTGTAGCTTGGGGAATGGATGTCATTGGTCCAATTGAGCCATACGCCTCTAATGGACATAGATTTATTTTAATTGCTATTTATTATTTCACCAAGTGGGTGGAAGCAACTTCTTACAAGTCGGTGACCAAGAAAGTTATAGCTGATTTTGTTCGCAACAATCTCATTTGCAGGTTTGGAGTACCAGAATCCATCATTACTAATAATAGTGTGAATCTCAACAGTCACTTCATAAGACATATATATGAGCAATTTAAGATCACTCACCAAAACTCAACCACTTATCGCCCCCAAATGAACGGAGCTGTAGAGGCTGCCAATAAGAACATCAAAAAGATTTTGAGGAAAATGATTGACAATCACTGAGTTGGCATGAGATGTTACCATATGCTTTGTTGGGATACCGAAAGACTGTCAGAACATCGACCGGAGCTACACCATACTTACTAGTATATGGAACAGAGGCAGTCATACGTGCTGAAGTGGAAATATCGTCTTTGAGAATCATACAAGAAACTGCATTAAGTAATATTGAGTGGGTCCGCAAGAGGATTGATCAGTTAACCTAGTTCGAGGAGAAGAGAATTGTTTCTGTTTGTCATGGTCAACTATATTAACAGAGAATGATTCTTGCTTTTCACAAGAGAGTAAGAGCAAGAATTTTTGAAATCGGTCAGTTGGTCCTTAGGCACATTTTTCCTTACAGAATGAGTATAAAGGAAAATTTGCGCCTAGTTTGCAAGGGCCTTATATTGTTCACAAGATATTATCTGGAGGTGCTTTGGTCCTGTCGAAGATGGATGACACCGCATGGCCGAAATCGATCAACTCAAGTGTTGTCAACAGATACTATGTGTGAAGCTTCATTTTGTATTCCCGTCATTTCCTTTTATGCGTTCTATTTGCTTGTAGTTGCTGTATTTAAATTTTTATCTTCTTGTAATGAACTATGTCTGACCTGAATTCTCAAAAATGAGATACGTAGGTAGCCTATGTTGGCCTCTGTCACCCATTTTATCCCTTTTAATATTTCCTTGTATAATGAACTATGTCTGACTTGAGTTCTCAAAAATGAGATACGTAGGCGGCCAATTTTGGCCTCGGTCACCCCATTTATCCCTTTTAATATTTCTTTGTATTTTGAACTATGCTTGACCTAAATTCTCAAGAATGAAATACATAGGCGGCTTATGTCGGCCTCAGTCAATTTCTTTGAAAACTTCTTATTCTTTTAACCTTTGAAGGGGATATGTTTGACCTGATTCCTGTCTCAACGGGATATGTAGGCTTCACAAGGGTTCGGTCATATCTCCCATAAGATTTCTATTTCCCTTTACAATAGAAATTAGGACAAAATTTTTGAGAGGGGTTCAATAATTCTCAAGGAAGAAGATTTTTCCTCAACAAGTCGAGACTGGAGTTACTTTGAGATCTGCAACTGGGAAAGAATTTTTGATGGTATCTCGAAAATTCCATGTTTTGCCCAGCGACAGTTAAAGATAAGACAAGACAGTTAACTGGGATAGAAATTTTGAGGATGGCCTCAAAATTTCAACATGGGTTTGTTGACAGTCTAGAGTGACTTTGGGTACTCCTCAGCGAATAATCAGATATACCTCCAAGCATCAGACTCAAGGAAGTTCGCTAAGCCTGACGTGATGATACTTGGTAGTAACTTTTTTCAAAAATGCTACTTTTTGAAAATATATTTTTTCTTAAAATTTCCCCTTTTTATTTTATTTGTTTTGGAATAAAATATATTGTCTTATCTATCAAGAGTCAGGAGATTAGAAAAATCAACCGAAAATAACAGGACAGGGAGCAGACAAATGAAGAATCGACACAGATCAGTTTGTTTAAAACTAAAGATTTTTCTGTGAATGCAGGTGTATAGTTTTGCTCTGAAATCACCAAATTTCTCCGATTGATGAATATGGAGAAGTCAAGGGGGCAAAATCTCTCCCCAAATTTACGAGTATTCTATGGATACATGAATTATTTTACATTGCACATATCGAAGATTTGAGAGTGTTACATTATAGTTTCATTCAATTATCAGCAACTTGAAGTCTATAATGAATATATGACTTCATTCAAAGAAGAATCAAGTGAAAATCTCAGGGGAGACAATTTACGATTTTTCGTAAAGTACGTCATCTGCATCATATTATCAGATGTGATATTATTACTATCTAGAGGGGTAATTTATTTGTATTGTTGATTTAGATAATACATTACATCGAGAGTCATTTTACCATATTGACAATTGAGACGATATCATTATCCAAAAAGCACCCAGAAGAGATTTATGCCTCACAAAAAATGATGCAACGCTAGAAGATATTCATGCCGCGCTAAAAATCATGCATCGCGAAAAGTCATGTATCACAATTTAATATTCATGCATCGCCAGTTAATATTCATGCATCGACGAAAGTCATGCATCGCGAGTTAATATTCATTTATCGCAGAAAGTCATGCATCGCAAGAAGATATTCACGCATCGCGAGAAAATATTCATGCATCACGAAAAGAAATTCATGCATCACGGAAAAGTCATGCATTGCGGAGAAGAAGTCATGCATTGTAAGAGAAAATTCACGCATCGCGGAAAAGTCATGCATTGTGAAAAAGAAATCATGCACTGCCAGAGAAGAAAATCGTGCAATTGCATTTTTATTTGGCAAGGTTGAACACCAAGAAAATTATCGCGGACGACATCAAGAAACTATCAGCACACTACATTAACTTTTATTTATTTCGACATCAAATGAAGAATGTATTGAAGATTATAGTGCAAACGTAAGACATAAGCGATATTTGCTTTACGTCAAACTGATCAAGTAACGTCAAATATTGAAGGGAGCAACTAAGTGTCAACCCAGTAAAAGACACTATCTTCCATTTGAATTGCATTTTTATGCTAATGAGTTTATCTCAGTCTTTGTCGACAACATCTGAAAGGATGAATTCTCCAAAAAAACCATAGGTGCAGACGACATAAAAAAGGATGCAGCACAATGTGGAACTTTTCTTCGCAGCGAACTGGGAGATAGTCCAAAGAGGAGTGTCAAACTCTTAGGACGCGAGCAGAGGATCGACTTCCACCACAATCAAACAACACCCCTATCAGAAGGCATGTGGGTTTTTCTTTAGATTTTCTTGGTTTCAATCTCATATCTGAAAATTTTGGTGTCCGCATGAAGCAAGTTTCCAATCCGAGTGACACTGCACCAAGATCTTTGGAAATTATGTCCGTGTAAGTTCTTATTTGTGGGTGTGAAGCGCGGCACATTCATCGCTAAGAGGTTACAAGCCTCCTTTTCATACTTGATTTAATTTGTCACTTATCCAAAACCAAGGGTTGTCTAGCATAATAGATTTCCTTTTTAACCAATTGATTTGAATTACAAACAACATGATTCCTCAGTTATAAGGATATGTAGGCAAACTTGGTATTGAAAACTCGGTTGTATTCCAGCATCCACTCTTAAATTTTATTCTCGGATATTCAGATCCCCTCATAATTCAGTGTCGGGGTGACTCTTGAATTCTTTCAAAATTATGTGTTAAATCGAGCGTATCGAACTAGAAGTGGTCCGAATTCTCCTATAGCCGGAGATATATAGGAAACTCATTCCCGGGATTCAGCTATAGTTCCTAAAAGCCCATATCAAATCCCTTCCAAGATATGAATATGGGGTCGGTCAAAATTGAATTGGTCAATTTTATTTTCCTCAAATTTCTTGCATCAATCCAAGTAAAATGGGAGACACTTGTTGACACCCAATTATGATCCTCCTCGTTAGGAATTAATCAACGAATTTCTTAAATTCCAAGCGAATTGAAATAGTTGACTTTATAAGATTTAAATGTTTTCAAGTCATCTTAAAGTAGCTTTATATCGATTTGTTATGATTTTCAAGTAATATATATGTGGTATGGTTTTCTATAATTAGTTTATTTTACGAAATATTCGAAAAATTGTCTCACAAAGATTTAGCTTTGGTTAGTTCTTTATTAAATTAGTTTTTAGTAGCTTGTAGTTTGGACCTTTAGTTTATAGTTAAATTTATTAGTTTACCTTGTTATAGTTTATATATATACATACATACATATATATATATATATATATATATATATATATATATATATATATATGTTTTGAATAATGTTATGCATGATTAGTTTATTTTTTATAAAATATTCAAAAATCTTCTAAAAAAAAAGATTTAGCTTTATCTAATACCTTGTTAAGTTATTTTTTGTCTAAATTATTAGTTCATATTTTGAGTCACCGATTTATAATTAAGTCATCTGAAACTAAAGAGGAAGATCATTTTTTTATCCTTAAATCGGTCTAGGGTCAAGTCGTCGTCTAGGCCTTCGCTTTCTATTCAGTAGTCGCATTTCATTGTGGTGTTTGTCTACTCGAATCATTGTTCCAGTCGCTACAATAAAGAAGGTAATCACCCTTATAGTATTCTTTCCATCTTCATTGTCATCTAAATGGGATATCTCGTGGATTCGAAGGGCCCCGTTATTTTTATATATTTTATTTTTCACGAGCTGTCTTTGAATTTGTTAAATTTTTATGAGATATGGTCGTCCCAATTGATTTTGTGGGCGGTCTAAGGTAAGGTGTTTGACTATTTTGCGTCTGAGGTCTGTTTTCCTTATTGTTTCGTTCGTTGCTTCTCATCTGAAGTCGGTTGACTGATAAGTTTGAATATATATGTGTACATATATTATTTCGCTTATATTGTCGTTGGCATGAAAATGTGTCGCCACATGGGTCTAAGAATTTCTCAAAGTTA